TAAATTTAATTTTCTTTTGATTTTATGTTTTTTTCATTTAAATAATAAATATTGTTCTAGATAAAAAGAAAGGAAGAAACAGGAAAAAAAATCCTAGAAATAATTGTCGTCCTCATTATCTACATCAGTGAAGAGAATCTCCACATTTGAAAAAGAGGTTTAAAAAAAGCAGGATTTTTTATTTTGAACTACTGTGTAACTGAATCTGATTCAGTTCACCTCCTCAATTCAATCTCAGCATGCCCTGCATTTACATGCCCATATAATACTGCAGGACTTGGCTATAATTATGTCATTAAGTTGACTGAATTCCCATACTGTACTGCTGGCTGAGAAAATGCAATAAAGGTGGAGTACAGTTCTTCCCACCAAGAATCTCACTGGGGAGCTGGACAAACACAAAATGTATATCAAAGTTAATATCATACTAGGAATCACAAAAATACATGAGAAGCCTATAAAAATGAGGAACTATCAAAGTAGGAATCTTTGATCCTATCCGAAGTGTATTGATTAATTTAATTGTTCAAGTAGCCAACTTACTTTGGCATTTTATTAAAGCTCACTACATATTTATCACAAGAGTTAATATTATGCAGTGTTCATTAATTGTGGATCATGAAGTTAAGATGTCCAAGCTGGAATCTTGATCTGCCACGTCTTAGGTAAGTGAACTTCAGAAAGTTACTCTTTAAATCTTAAATTCTCAAAGATTCCAATACTACTATCATTTTCAAAATGTAACTAGGAAAATTGAAAAATGTTTAAAAAAAGCATACAACAATATCCAGTACAGCATAAGCTCTCAAAAACATTAACTATTCTTTAGAAAAAAGATCCTTCTTAAAAATGTATAATGATTGAACTGAGTATTGAAAATTTATTGACTCCTGTATTACAATTCAGTCTGACCAACTTTTGAGCCCTTTAAACATTAAGTTCTATAAATTTATACATTGGTACAAAATGAAAAACACTCTTTCAACTACACCCCTATTTATACTACACCCCAATTTATCAAAGCCCTTGTTGAGTGAGGATGAAATGAGGCTTTAAAGGCAAGTAGTGCTGAACACATCAACAAGGTGTTATAAATGTTTGGATTTTAGTCTAAGTACAATGAGAAATCACTGAAGGATTTTAAACAACGGATAACCTGACCTACATTTTCAAACTGTAACCTTTTTTGTTGAATAGACAATGTGAAAGAGAAAGACAAGAGCTAGGAGGCTAGTGAGGTAGTTCAAGCAAGAGAAAATAATGCTTTGGAGTAGGACATTAGCAAATATGAGGTAAAGAAGTGATCCAAGGGGAGACATATTTTGCAGGTGGCATTAAAAGTCTTAATAAAGGATATAAGGAGGAGAGAATTCCAAGATTTCTGTCTTGATCAACTGGATAAGTGGAGTGCCACATAGTATGGGGGAAATACTGAAAGGGAAAGAAATCAGTATGGCAGGAGGGCAAAAAAGCAAGAATCCATTGAGTTAAAGATATCTGTGAGTCATCAAGTGGAGACAGAATTGGATAGTTTGGATCTAGGACACTAGGGTTCAAAAAGAGAGTTTAGAACTGTAGGCCTATATTTAAGAGTCATAAGTACATATGTGATATTTAAATCCATGAGGATCAGATTGCCTGGGATAAGAATGTAAAAAAAAATGAGCAGAAAATGAATTCAGAAATGACCCCTAAGAAATTCTAATATTTAGAAGTTAGATAGAATAAATGGAGGTACAGTGAAAAACTCTGAGGAGAGACCATAAACCGGGAAGAAAAACCAAGAAAGCAAAAATAAATAACTATAGCAAATGGTATTAGGAGATCAAGTAAACTGATTTTCTTTTATTTCTTTAATCTAGCAATGTGGAGAAAATTGGTGATACTACCAAAAATGGGTTTTGTATCCTGGTGTCAATGGACACTAGATTAGAAAGTCTGATAAAAGGGAGGTGATGTAGAAATAATTTTCCCAGAAGAGACTGGCAGGAAATAGGGCAGAGACAAGTTCAATCACAGGGAAATATAGACTGTGAATAATGTTTTGGAAGTAGCATTTTATTTGGAGAATTCCAGGGAATGTTTGAATGATGTTAGGAAAATCCCACAGACAGCCAGAGGATATAGGAAGAAGTGGAAATGACTAGTAAAACAAGATCAGTGAGAAGAATGAATAGTTCCAAATCATATCTAGGAAGATGGATTTTTGATAGAAGGCAGGGCACTTCTTCCATTGGAACTGTGAACAGATTAAGGTAAAATACAGACACAAGTACAGTTTATAGATTTAATGGGAAACAGGTGAATAAATTCCAGCCTTATGGGATCTGTATTTGTTAATGAGATGTGACGCAAAGCCATCTGCTCATGATGGATGTGTAAAGTCAAGGGTAAGAGTCAATGAAGGAAGGAATAGGGTTAGGGTAAACCAACCCTCCCGGTTTTCAAGAACCAAGAGAATTCCTGTGACTCAGGACTTTCAACAATAAAACCAGGAAAGTCTCAGCAAGATGCTAAGTCTCTCATTGTGGAATCTGAACAGGGTGGAGGAGGTATACCATAGTCTTTATATAATGTAGGAACAGAATTCACTAGTAAAAAAGAGGAAGATTACTAGTTTTGAATGCCCAGTTAACAATGACGACCATGATTTTATAGCATAACCGTATGTTGAATAATACTGACTTTAGATCATAAATTGTGCCTCTGTTCAGAGAATGTTCCTAGACTTCCTCAGTTCATGTGCATTAAGTGTCATAGTCATTTTTCATTGTACCCCTTAAACAATTGTCTTTCCTACTTGACTATTCCTCTTCAGACTGTATTAGGGAAGAGACTATGACTGCTGTGTTCATTCAGTACATAGGAGAAACAAAAGTATAAGTTGAAACAGATTGATTCGTAAATTGTTAAAATTAAGGTAAATAATGCTTGTGAAGCACCCATCAACTGTCCAATAAGTGGTAGCTAAAATTTCTCTATTACTATTCATATTTTCATAGTAGAGCACAGATCTTGACTTGAACACATTTAGAGAGAGATAAACATTTGCTCAATGAAAAAGTTCAGACTAGAGATGAGGTCCTACATTATGACTGCCCCCACCAAATGCAACTGTTTGTCGATTTTACTTTCACCATCCTAAATGTCGTTGTCTGAAATTCCAGCTTATGTTGTGTTCTTTAAAAAGAAAGGAAGAAACAGGAAAAAAAAATCCTAGAAATAATTGTTGATTGCCCTTATAGAATGAGGTTTTGAACAGTAAGGGAGGGAAACCAGAGATGGTATGAGATAAATGGGCTGTCTTAATTCGTTATGTGCCATTGTCTTATATACAGGACACCAGCAAAAATTGTAACGTTTTTGTAGGTGTCGTATAATATAGAACAATGTCCTATAATATAGGACACAGGAGGTTTCAATAACAATTTCGCGCTCGTGCATTTTCAGCGCCTTGTCCACTAGGTGGTGGTACTGAGTCCCTATTCGACCTACAGTTGTTTTTTTCACAACAACCATTTGTACGTGAAATAAACCCAATACATTTCTTCAAAAGTTCAGCTTGAAAAACAGCGCTCAAGTGAACAGGGCGGGGAAGGCCCGGAAGAGGAGAAGCGAAGTGCCGGCAGCGGGGGAGCTCCCACGACTCTCGGGAAGGAGCGGGCTGTTCACGCCGTGTCCCGGCTCGAGGTCACCCGGGCGCCGCCGGGCACCATTCCTAGGCGCAGATGAGCTGGGATTGCGAGCTGGTGCCGCGGCCACGGCTCCTACAGGCCACCGCAGCCAGCTGAGCCGCTGCAGTAGATCTTTGCTTGCAAAAGCACTCAGAAACGAACCGCAGACCGGCTGGGCCCACGAGCCACGTGACCAGCCCTAGTCACGTGACTCCGGAACCCCGCAGCTGACGTCTGTTACCCTGACAACTGCCGACCCTCTCGGGCCTTTCCGGGAAGCGCGGGATACGGAGGCAAAGGTAGGTATATATACAGGACTAGCTCCCCAGCCACGTCGGGGTGGTGGGGTCTGGGCCTGCGACTGGGTCTTTGGAGCTTTCGTGGTTCGGGTCATCCGCCTTCTCCGCCCTGACTCCACTGTCAGCAAGTCTTTGTCTTCCCGCCAACTACCCAATCCGCGCTTTCTGGAGCCTGGACGCCGCGGGGCTGAAGGCCTTTTAGTGGGGTCAGCCCCTTACCTAGCCCTTGGGCCAAGACTTGAACCGCACCCACCCTGAACTGATCCAGATGGTACTAAAGGGAGGAGGTCTTTTTCTGTGTTTGGGGAAAGTACTGTCCGGGCCTCCAACCACTTACCCCACTCTCACCTCTGCAAAAGGAAACTGGGGTAGGCAGAGTAAGCCCCCAAAGTTGAGATTTTTATGGGAAAAGAACTCCGTGTTGCATATCACTGCGTTCTTTTTTAAGGGGTTCAGTGCACCGTTTTTTGTGGTCGTCTTTGCTTCAAAAGAAACATGATTCGTGCTGATTTGTATACTGTATTAATTTTTAAGTATTCCAAATCCTAATAAATTCTCTATATCTGGAAACATTCCCATATCTGAAAAGTCTGTTTTGCCAAACTGTTGATGTTGATTGGTAAAGTGCAGAAATCAGTTGACTCAGACTACACAACTGTTAGGCTTTGTAAGAAAAAGTGGCCCTTTGGTGTGCTGTTATAAAATTTAAGATTATATGTGAGGGCTTGGTTTGCGTTTGAGAGGTAACGCACAGATATGTATATATTTAGGAAATATTGTTAAGACCATCCTTTAACTATTAGATCTTAACAGATGAAAATGTAATTTGGGACCTCAAGTAGAAGGTAGGTTGTTGAAGCTAATGTGAAGGATTTCCTCAAAAGGTGTTTCTCTCTTTTGCCATTTAGTGTTTCCATTGTTGTAAATAGTGTGTTTGCTTTGGGAAGCAAAAATTACTGATTATGGCTCAATATTCCAAAGAAGAGCTGGATGAAGAATTTGAACAGTTTATGAAGGAGGTAAGTTCATATTTTTAAAAGATGTTTGGTAAATTTGTCTCATGAGACTCATTTTTCGGGGCTGGGAATGTAGTTTGGTGGCAGAGTGCTTGCCTAGCATGTATGAGGCCCTGGGTTGGATCACCAGCGCAGCATACTGAACAAAAACGAGACAGTTATTTATTTGTATTTTTTTTTTGTAATATTGGGGATTAAATAGGGCCTCATGCGTATTAGGCAAGCACTGTATCACACCCCCAACCCCATATTTATTTTTACTAGGTCAAGAAAGGTAAAAATGCAAAATTATTCAATAATAAAATTTAATAAAACTTAAAAACAAAAACCAAAGATGCATCCTTAATTTTCCCTTTCACCTTATAATCAAACTATCACCTCCATCTTTAGAGTTTACCTATTATCTCTGTAGTTGGTTCCCATTTTAAATACTGCCACCTGCTCCTTCAATACCATCATCTCACCTGGCCTACTGGAGCTGTTCACAATTAATTTCCCAGTATTCCTTTCACCACACTGCAGCCAGATGAAGTGTTACATAAATCTGACTCTTAAAATGCTATTGGTATTCCTGTCATCACTTGTAGAATAAAATCTAAACTCCTTATGGTGTTGTGAAGCTCTTCATGATTTTGTTCATGTCCACCTCGCTCACTTTTTGTCACTCTACCCCTTCATCCATTTTATTCTGCAACTGCCTTCCCTCCCTCCCCCCATCCCCCGACCCCACTTGTGAAGCTCATTTTTCTTCAAGGGCTTTGTGCTATCTGTTCCTCCACCAACCGTGTTTCCTTGTTTTCAACCTGGCTTGTAAAGATCTTAAATATCTCTACCGCAGACAGGTTTTTTTCCTGTTTTGTTTTTGGTTTTGTTAGCCCAATGAAAAAATAACAGTAATTTCTTAGTATGCCATGTATACTTCTTACAGCACTTATCACCATTTATTACTTGTATGGTTCTGTTTTCTACTTTCTATTGTAAGAATAGTTGATCTGAGACATGTTGGCTGTAATTTCATTGCTATACATGCTTAATAATAGACCTAATAGATACTTAATTAATATCTACTGAATGAATAAAGGGTTCCACCACAGCCTATGTAGGTACATCAATGAAAGGTCCTTGTAAAGTATTTAGGAAAGCCACATTTTAAAATGTTATATAGTATTCTCATTTATAAAGGAAATTTTGTATAATAGAAAGAACCTGAGTTTCATTATCTCATAGGAATAGCAATGCCTATTTTATAGAATTGTTTTAAGAATTTAAAAAGCATCTATCAATTGCCAGAATTTTACTTGGCATACAGAACAGGTCTCGATTTTTGAATTTGAATATGGGCACATTTTAAAAATCAAATTTATAGAAAGTATTTTTATTTTGAAAGATTAATGGCAGTGCAATATAGGCCTTTTGGAAAATATTTTTCTTCCACCCCTCATTTATGACCCCCCCCAAAACACATACTCCAACATTGTCTCCTTCTCTCCTTGTCTATCTTCCTCTCACATCCATTCTCAAATTATAAAAGATCTTGTCTCATGTTAGAGGTTTAGGTAAAGCAGTGTTTCATTTTTTTCAGTGAAAACCGTGATTTTAAAAGTCACACAAACTTCCTTGGACATTTTGATAAATTATTCAAACAGGTATTCAAAGTATAGTTTATCTCTTTGTTTTTAGAAGTGTGGTTTGACAAGCTTTTTAAAATTAGGTTTATTGAGATATAACTCACATGCCATACCATACAATTCACCCATTTAGCATGTATAATTCAGTGTTTTTAGAGTGATGTAACCATTGCCACAGTCAGTTTCAGGACATTTTTATTACTCCAGAAAGAAACCCATAGCTCTTAATCTCCCCCAACACCTCTTCCCTCCTTTCCCAGCCCAAGGCAACCACTCATCTTTTTCCTGTCCCTAAAGGTTTGCCTATTATGGCCATTTCATAGAAATGGACATACAGTGTTCTTTTGGGTCTATCTTCTTTTACTTAGCATAAAGTTTTCATAGTTCAATATTCATGTTATAGCATGCTTTAGCACCTCATTTGTTTTTATAGCTGAATTGTATGCTTTTGGATGAATATACCACATCTTGGTTATTCCCTTTTCACTTGATAGAAACTTGGAGTCTTTCCACTTTTTGGCAGTTATGTGTCTGCTCATAGCAATATTCATATGAATTTTTGTATGGATGTATATTTTCATTTCTTTTATATATATACACATAGGAGTAAAATTGCTGTGTCATATGGTAATTCCAAGGTTAAACCTTCTGCCCGACTATTTTCTAGAGTGGTTTTGCTACTTATATTTTCACTAGCAGTGTATTAGTTTAATGAGGTTCCATTTTCTCTGTATCCTTGCTAACACTAATTATCTGAGGACCAGCTTTTTGTTTGTTTTTAATGACAAACCTGGAAAGCAGTGTGAAAGGTTTTGAGAGTGAGACACAATGTATTAGAAAGAATAATGGATTCTCTCCATATTTTTCTGATCTTTCCACAGGCCTACTCCTGACTTACAGATAAATAAACTGAGGAGAGAGAAATGGAATGTTTTAAGGGTGTAGTGATGTTTAGAGGCTAAGTAGAAAGAGATGCCACTAACAGGAATTCAGATAAGATAAAGAATATTTTTCCCCTTCTATCCTTCCTACCTGTTGTCAAGGAAGACAGTTTCTTTGGAACATTTTTAAAATTGACACTCTTTATAAGACATGGAAGTAGTTTTGTTTGGCAGGTGTAAGTGTGTGTGTGTGTGTGTGTGTGTGTGTGTGTGTGTGTGTGTGTTGGCAGTTTCAAAGGCCACCCAGGAAACAGCATCCTGTGGGGGTGGGGGTGGGGGAGAGGACTACATAGTATAGTGGAAAGTAGACAGGCTTTCAGTCAGAGACCTGAATAAGTTTGATTCTGTTTTTATACCACTTACTGACAGTAGTACCTTGGGCAAGTTATTTAATCTCTGAGCTTCAGTTTTCTCATCAGTAAGTCTCTGTACGATAGCTTAAAAAACTAAGTCAGATAATCTAAAGGCAGGTTAGGTTCTGACATAGAACAGGCATGTAATGAATGCTGGTTTCTTCCCTAGAAAAAGTTTGACATGGGATGAAAAAGGATCAAGAACATAGTTCTAGAGAATCTTTTGTTAATAGCTTTGGGCTCTTTTGCTCATTTCCTTATAATATAGAAGGGTGGCAGTGACCACAGAACTCCAGAGTAACCTGATGGGAAGCGATGCTGCTGAAGTAAGTTTCAAGAAGAATTGGTCACCACTATTGTTATGGTTTTGATATTAGGTATCTCCCACAAAACTCCTGTTTCTACAGGAATATTCATAAGTAAAATGATTGAATTATGGGAACTGTAACCTAATCAACCCATTCTGATTTGAAGACAGGTAAGGCTTGGCTGGAGTTGGTGGGTCACTTGGGGCATGACCTAGAAGGGTTCATATTTCCCACAGAGATTTGGGTAAAGCAGTGTTTCATGTTTTAACAATGAAAACCATGATTTTAAGAGTCATGCAAAATTCCTTTGATATTTTGATACATAAATTTTTCAAGAAGACTTTTCAAAAATGTATTTATCTTTATTTTTAGGGGCATGGTTCCACAAACTTTTAAAATTGGGTTTTGGTCAGTTAGGAAGGATGACTGACAGTTGTCCTTTGTGTCATTTAGGAGGCCTTTGGAGCCCAAAGGAAAGCTCTTTTGGATGGAAACCAGATTTTAAGGAGTTGAGCAGTCAATTCAAGATTTGGTATATAGGGTAAAAGGGACTTGTCATGACCCAAAGTAGAGGGTATTCATTCTTTTTCTCCACATCAGTGTCAGGTGTTACACAGGGTGCTAGAGATGTGTTGCTGAGCAGGTTTTATAATCTGAGGTAAGCAGAGAGTTGAGAGCAGAGGGAGTGAAGATACAAAAGTGAAAGTGGATAATCAAGGAAAAAGGAACCCAGGGAAGAGAAGTCACTCCTTTGAGGTTCTGTTGGGGGTGGAGGAAAGTATTGTCTCCTCCAAGAGAGAGGAAGTGCCTTAATTGAGCTTAGTGGTGGGATGAGGGGAAGATAGGTGGTGTTTGACTAAGGTCTCAGTGAAGAGTTCACCTTACTAGCTAAGAGGGAATTGGGATTAGAGTAGGAGATCTGAGAATGTAGTATTTGGACCAAATACTCATTTTCTACACAGGAAAAGATAAATACAAATTTATCCAAGTTTATGAATCACTGTGACAGAATGCTCATTTCTCGGGTCAACACCATCTGCTCCACTGACTGAAATTCAGTTCTTCCTTGTTTTGAAATTGGAAATTTTGAATTCTCCGTTCTTAGAGTGACCCCAGGTGCTTTTAATCAACCACCACAGTCTGTAGATAATCTTTGGAAGATAGGATTATATTTTCCCTTTCCTGAGCAAGTTTATTGATCATTTTCTTTTTGGTGGTTCTCTGAGTTTACTTGTTTAACTCTAGATATGAAATCAATGTTCAAAGACATATGCTTGATTTTCAAGTTCTTTGGCTACCTCTGTTTATGGATATGAATTTATACATTATTGAGGATAATATCTGATAACTGTGGAACTAAAACATTTTAAAGGATAAATGTGATATTTTTTAATTTACAACTTATTTTGAAATTTAATAATTTGTATCTGATTCAGCTTTCAGATGATTCTTTTGAAAGTTCAAGCAAAACACTTGGACAACCTGAAAAAGAAATGAAGAAGAAAGATATAGTGCCTTGGTGGATAACTGAAGATGAGTTTGAAGATGGTGGTAAATATTAATTTTTAGTTTTGAATAATTTGACCACAAGGGGTCAGTCAAGACTTTTAATTCTGGATTTTGTTCTGCACTATAAATATAAAAGGAAAATAATACTAATAGTGTGGCTTCTTGAGGTTTAAATTGATTTTCATGGTTTTTCACATTTTATTATATAATTGAAAATCTGTTTTTTGCATTATCAGGTTATTTTACATTGAGATCATTATTCAAGGTGATGAATATTGTTATATATCATTGTATTTAATAGTGAATTGATATAAGGTGATTTAATAAGACATTCTTGCAGTGATCACATGGGGAAGGTTTTAACAAATCCATAGTTTTAGGTATCAGAGTTTATTAATTAGTAGTAAAAATAAAAATTACTACCTTAATGGTAAAGGACTCACTATTTCTGGCACATGTTTATGCCTTTACAAATGCAAAAGTATTTTCATGAGTGTTTTGTTGTTCTAATGTATCATATGTATACTACCTGTAACTTGGCAGTATCTGTATATCCTATATAGCACTATATATGGTACACTTAATTTATGATAATGCCATGTCAGTAAAGAACCCAGAGTGCTTCTATTTAAATATCTATGTTTTCAGTATTTGTGAATAAGTATAAGCACCATTTTGTGAACTGATAGAATTTCTCTCTCTTCTCTAGGAGATTTACCTGTGACTTTTATTATCTCCCATAAAATTGAGTCTGAATTTCTTAATGTGACAGTTGAGGCTATCTATTACCCAAATGGAACTTTCCCTTCTAAGTTCATATTTGCCAGTCACACTCAGTTATTCTGTATCTCCTTAAAATACCATTGACTCCCATACCTCTGATTGGCTCAGGAGTTTCTGGTCCTCCTTACCCAGTAAAGCTTGGCATCACTACTATGTGCAGTCCTTCAGTAACTCTTCTTGCTCCCTTGTTGACAGTTATTTTCTCTTTTGTTTTGAGGTGAGAACACCATAATAGCACTTGCACAGGTGTTGCTAATTGTAACCTGTAGGACTGCTTCTGCAATTGGGAGCTTTGTGTAGGCAGAAATCTCTTTTCCCTTATATCCTGGCCTTCAACAGTAAATAATAAGTATGTTTAATAAATGAATGTTAGAGTAGATTCACTTCTTTGTTATTAATACTATAGTACATTAAGGGAACACCTTATTTAAAAAGTTTTACTGCATTTTTTTTCATAAATACCCAAACCATGCAACAACACTAAAGTACACATATGAAGAATTATCTATTTATTTACTTATTTTGCTACTGGGGATTGAACCCAGAGGCAATTTGCCACTGAGCCACATCTCTAGCCCTTTTTTTGTATTTTCAGACAGGGCCTCACTAAGCTACTTAGAGCCTCACTAAGTTGCTTAGAACCTTGCTAAGTCGCTGAGGCTGGCCTTGAACTTATACTCCTCCTTGCTCAGCCTCCTGAGACACTAGGATTACAGGGGTATGCCACTGCACCCAGCTAAAGAATTAGTTTTTAGAATCTCCTTCCTTGTTAGTACTTGAAAAGAATATTATTTAATAAGATACCTCTGGTGCAGCCATTGACTTATTGCTCTAGGCTTATTTCCTCCAAAACTTAATACTCTTTGGTCCAACTTCATTGATTTCATCTTCAAATGTGGCCTATTCCTCCCATTGTCGAGCCTTCATACCTGTTGTTGCCACTGCATGGAGTTGTCTTCCTTTTCCAGTTCACCTACTTATCTCCTCTTCTTCACATCTTGGTAGAAGTGTTACTTCCTTGCAGAAATATTCTTCAGATTTTCCAGTCTTGGGACTCCCCCTGCCATTAACATCTTCTAGATTTCTTTCAGAATTCTAGAGTTGTTCACATTCAACTCTAGTCTGCATTTAACTCTCCATTTTCTAATAAACTCTTCAATTATAATGTAATTATTTATTTTCTTATTGCCTGTCTTCTATCTTCATGAATGTGAATCTAAGTTTCAAAAAGGCAGGGATTTTTGTCTTTTTTTTTTTTCTTCCTCTTCACTGCTAAATCCCCAGCATTTAAAACAATGCGCAGCACATACCAAACTAATGAATATTTGTTAAGATTGTCTGCTTCCCTTATTAGACTTTAACCTTCATGGTGAGAAGGGCCTTCATTGTATGGCAGGCATGAACACATAGGCACATAGTTTGTCAAAATATCTAAATAAAATAGATAATATTCAAAACCTTTGTATATAAACATAGATTATACTTTCTTGGAACTTTCAAGATTCATGGAACAATTTTTTAAAAGTAAAAAATTTCAAACATATTTAGAAATAAGTAGAACCTACCTCATATACACACCTTTATACAACAATTATTAATTCATGGTCAGTCATTTTTCATCTGTGTCTACTCTTTTTATACCCTTGTTTTAGTCAGCTTTTTTGCTGCTGTGACTAAAGGACCCAACCAGAACAATTTTAGGGAAGAAAAGTTTATTTGAGTGCTCATGGTTTCAGAGGTCTTAGTCCATAGAAGGCCGGCTCCATTATTCAGGGCTCCAAGTGAGGCAGAATATCATTTTCGAAGGAAGCAGCTCACATGATGATCAGAAAGGAGAGAGACAGACTCCACTCTCCAGATACAAAATATTTACCCCATAGCCATACCCCCAGTGAACCATTTCCTCCAGCCACACCCCACCTGCTTCCAGTCACCACTCAGTTAATCCCATCAGAGATTAATTCACTGATTAGGTTAAAGCTGTAACCCAGTCATTTCTCCAAATTTTCCATTGTCTCACGCATGAGCTTTGGGGACACCACATCTAAACCATAACAACCCTCCCCCCAAACAATTACTGGCACTGTATCACTTCAGTCCACAGATATTGTAAAGTATCTCTTAAAATTAGAGAACTTTTAAAATATATAAAATTTAACAAATATCAATAAAATTCCTTAATATGATATGATATCTAATCAGTCATAAAACACTTTTAATATATTTTAGTTTTAGAGACAAATTCACATTCCAAAAGCTGTGAGAGATAACAGTTTCCTCTCCCCTAATAACAGATGTCACATATTCTGGTATAAGAATCTCTACTGCAGTGAGCCACTGTTTCCAACATTGTAGGAATGATGACTTTGAAAGATCTTTTAATGTTTCCTTTTATTTTTCTTGAAGTGCTGTTTACACTAATGAAGAATTTTGGCTAACCCTGTAATTGTCCATCCTTGTACCTACCTTTCCCATTCTCGTATTTCATTATGCTGGTTCATACTGTCCATACTTTTTTCTGAGTGTTACGAGTCAAGCAACAAAATTTCTAAGTAAAGAGAGAACAGGGAATAAGGCAGAAGAAAAGTAATATGGCATAGTATATTAAGTATTTAATTTATACATGAATTCTCTTAAAATCTCTTAGGTGATTTTAAGAGAGTTCAACTACTTTAATAATTTTTTAAATCTCATGCAAATTTTTGAAATTTTCTCTTTAGTAAAATGTACACCAGACAAATAGAGCAATAACTTTTCTTTTGAAAATTCTAGGATGGGTTTTTTTATTTAACAGAGGAGATTCATTTTGTAGCAACTGTGTACAAAAATAATATAACAGTATTATTGTGTTGGCATAGTGATCAAAACAGTTCTCTGAACATAAATATCCAGCCACATTCAATTCTATTCCAGGCCTGCTTGGAACAAATGTAAGCTATTTGAAAACAAAGAGGACTTCTCAACCTGTTGTGGAAACAGAAGAGGATTCTGCTGAAAAAATTCAATTTCTGAAGAGCAGTGGAACCTCTATCTTAAGTGTTGACAGCTTAGAAACAAATGGTAAGAAATTTGAGGAATATGAGTCAATAAGTTATTAATTCATATGCTTATCAGAATTTTTATAAAAATTAATTCATAACTATCTTGGATCCTTCTTTACTGAAACATACAGATTTCATATTTTCCCAGATGTTAGAATTGCAACTCTACAGAAGCCTTAAACCTTCCATGTTGATTATTAATTTATTTGGTAGGTGAAAGATTAAGTAAATTTTAAACTTTCGTTAAACTATTTATGTATATATGTATGTGAAAAAATTCTTCATTCAAATTTTGTGAAAATTTTTATATTAATAAAATACTTTTATGCTTTCTATTTAGAACTAGTAGTTTCTGAGCTGAATCATAGTATTATTGGATTGGGATTGGACACATTAGAAGAACAAGAGGAAAAAGAACAGTTTTTTGCCAGGCTTGAGAAAGGCTTGACTTCATCCATTGATTATTCAAGATTGAATAAGGAATTGGATTCTAATGATTCCACGCATTGTAAAGCTTTACATAGGTAAAGTAATAATATAAACTATTAACTATGTTTGTGTTTTTCTGTGTTTTTGGAAGATTGATATGTGCATGAACTCAAATAGTTACTAACAGATAAAATAAATATTGAATTTTTTTTAAACTTTATTCATTTTTATAGTCAAGATTTTTCTGTGTACAAACATAATATGTTGATTTGTAGTTGAAAGCCCACTCTCTCTCCATATACCTTAAATTTCATATGTAAGATACTATAGAAAATAATAGTACGCTTTTTACTAGGAAATATATTAGGTGATTTTAAAAGAGTTTGAGTTACATTATACATTTAGGGGGCAGAGGGGAGAAAAGAACAGAAAGGGAAGTAAGAACCAGGCAACCAGGAAGCAAAGACAAGTTTTGGTCTGTGTCTTACATCTCTGTATGGCAGTTAATTCTTATTATATAGGAAACCTCATTCATCCTAGAAACCGTAGTTAGCTGAGCTGGTCCTCTCCTAAACACAGTAGACCATTGTCATTCTTAAGACCTTTGTGAAACCTGAGGTCTTTAATTTCCTCAGGTTAGTTAACCATGTTATTGTTTTTGTTATAAATAGAAATCCAATTATGATATTATTTAGGATTTCAAGAAACAAAGTCCTCTGGTTATAAGAGTGCCTAGTCTCAAGAAGATTCACTTCTTACAGTGGATAAAGCAATACATTTACTGGCATGAACTGCTCAGGGGTCTGAGAATTTTTTTAAAGATTTTTTGAAGATGGACACAATATTTATTTTCATGTGGTGCTGAGGGTGGAACCAAGAGCCTCCCATGTGCTAGACAAGCGCTCTACCACTGAGCTATAATCCCAGGCCCTAGGGTCTGAGACTTTTACCCTGCTTGTACATTAAAAAGTTAGCCTTCCAATCTTTGGATGTTGACAGTAAATACTAGATTCCTGTGTCAGAAACGAAAGTCCTTATTTCTCAGAACAGAAGCAATATTGCATTGCTTCTCCATACCCCATACTTCTGGGGTAAGATCAAGGATCCATGTCTGCACATGTAGTAGGTAGGTGGCATTTACAGAAAAGGAACACTGACCTTGAGAAATCTTTTGCTTTTATTTTAAATGGAAACAGGCCAGCTTTGGGGGGCGGGTAAAAACATTGCCTAATGCCTCAAGATAGCTTACTGTAAACACAGCCCCTAGATGGCTTGGTAAAAATTGGTCAAAGCTGTTAATTTTGGCATACTTAGAAAGAACATGCAGGTACATACGGGTACCATAGCAATTGTCTCTCCCAAATTAAGCACGTATAGGTTTATTGGCCACAATTTTTTTGCCGCTTTGCAATATTCCTTAACTTTTTCTCATTTTCAACAATATTCTCAACTATTAGTATTTCTGCTCTGGAACATTCTGATCAGAATGCTGCATAGCATTGAGTATGCAATATTAGGTGTTGTTGCTATTACCATTATTATAGTCTTATGGTTTTTCAGGTCTGCTCGTGACCCTCAAGATTGAAAAAGTAGAACTGTTTCCTAAGTTTGAAAGAACACAGTACTGATATATCCAATTTAATTAAAACATGTTCAAACAACTTGGCCCTTTGAGGGGCAGGGAGTTGGGGTGTTTTGGGTTTGAGGCTCTTATTCAACTTTCTTTCAAGAATTAATGGCTAATGAGCATGTCAGTACTGACCTTGGTCCCCCACCCTACCCCACCCCCTTGTTGCTGGTTCTTATACTTTGTTGTCACCTTCTTTACTGAAGATTAGAAATTATCTACAAGTCATGAGATAAGTGTATCCATTTATTTACACATTACACATTATGTATAAAATTATTTTGTATATAAATTTAGGAAGTGGCATTTTTTCTTTGATAATGTGTGCAGCAACAGTTAGTGTTAGGCTTTGAAGATCCTTGATTTTTCAAAACATTTTTCTTATAGCTCCCAAATTTTTAGCTTTTGGTAGGATAAGAGTACTTGTGAAGATATGTGATTTTAGAAATTAATACACACACACACACACACACACAAAGGATTGTTTGAAAAATATATTGTTAACAATAATACTACATGTTAAATATTTTTTCCAGTTACCAAGCTAATGTGGAATTAACTGACATCGAACATGAAACTGAATCAAAACATGAAGAATCCCCAGGTAATTTCATTGGTTTTAAATTTTATAATGTTTGAAAAAATAATATAATTTTTAGTAGAGACACTGCCGAGAGAATAATAATGAAAAGGTGAATTGTAGTGTTTTGGAAAGAGCTTTGAACAGGTAGAGTGTGTTCCCTGTTATTAAAAGTGAACGGCTGCCTCATTTGTTGAGAGTGGGCCAGGACCAATTGGAAAGACTGGAAAAAGAGTTTCTGTGCCAGTCTAGGAATAGGTGAAGCCAAGACAAAGACTCCAAAGCATTGGGGTGGGAACTACACCTTTTTTCATCATTTGATTTTCAGCATGTCTGTTTTTAATGTTTAAATGGTTTTCTTATAGAGATCATATAGCCAGGTTTTGTACTTTTGTCTAATATGACCACCTCAGACTTCAAATTGATGTGTTTCTACCCTTTATAAAAACATTTTTATTGATGTGGTTGTTACTGCTTTGCCAGTATTTTCTCTTTTCCATCATTGTTGTTACTTTTGTCCTGCATTCTATTGGGTTATTTATAACGTTTCATTTTATTTCTTTTGGCAATTTAGTTATGACTCTTTGTTATATTTTTTTCTTAGTTGCCATCTGATTAACAATGAATAACTTTAGAGTTTACTTTCAAATAATGTTATTCCACTTCTTTTACATGAACATTAGCAATAGTAAACTCTCCATTTTGCTATTTTTATCAACATTCTTCTTCTATATTGTTGTAAATAAGTTCTACTTATATAAAGATTTACATTGATCCATTTGCTTACCACTCCCAGTGCATTGTATTCCTTTGCATAGATTTCTACCTCAAATTATTTTCCTTCAACATGAAGAAACTCTTTTAATGTTGTTTGTAGTTCAGGTGACTGCTCAGAAGAAATTATATCAGTTTTTATTTGTCTGAAAATATATTTTGCTTTCGTCTTTGAAGAATACCTTTGCTCAATATAGAGTTTAGATTTTTTTTCTTTGAACGCTAATTTCATTCTATTGTCTTTTGACCATAGTTCTCATGAGAAGTTCCTGAAATTCCTGTTATTGTTATTTTGTATATCCAGTTGTCCCTTGTTATCTGTGGGGGACTGGTTTCAGGATTCCCTACAAATACCACAATCTGCAGGTGCTCAAGACCCTTATATAAAGTGGTATATAATATTTGCATTATAAACTATACACATCTTATTTAGGGAAGTTAACAAGTAGTCTGTATGTTCAGGTCAGATACAGTTGTTTGTTTTTTCTCTACATTTTCAATTCAATGATGATTGAATCCAAAGATGAAGAGGGATATAGAAGGCTGGCTGAATATTATCTTCTCTCTATTTCCAAGACTTTCTCTTTTCCTTGTTTTCTGGGAGATTGATTATATTGTGTCTTGGTATGTCTTTCTTGTACTTATCCTTCTCAAAATTTGAAGTTGATTGAGCATCATAATAGTTTCCATCAAAATAAAAATTTCTTCAAATATTTCTGCTTCTTGCCACCTGCCCTCTGATCCTAATTACAAATGTGTGAGAACACAAAATTTTGCCCTATAGGTTACTGGAATGGTTCCATCTTTAAAAGTCTTTTAAACATTTACCCTTGTATTCTACAGTTTCTATTGCTAAAGCTTCTAGTTCATTGATCTTTTCTTTAATCTGCTGTTAATTCCACATATCCATTTGTTTGTTTTGTTTTTTCCCCTTTCACTATAGGAATTCCTTTCGGATTTTAAAAATTTCTTATGTTCATTTTTTTCAAGTCTTGAATATTAGTCATCGTCTATGGATTACAGCATTTGTAGAGTTCTGGATAGTTTTATCTTGGCTTTTTTTTTCCTGGTTATGGGATACTTGCTTCATTTTTTTGGATATTGTGGGGTTTACATTGTCGAATATCTGGACTTTATTTTCTTCTTTTAAAACTTGAGCTTTGTTCTGGTAGATAGTTGACCCTGCCACTTGATCCTTTTGAGGCATATGTTTCTTAGGGAAAATTTAGAGTAGCCACTATAAGTATCATTTAACCCTACTCTTAAGACAGATCCCTTCTGAGGTTTCTACTTAATGTCCCCAGTGATCAGTACAGACTTTCCACTCGAGCAGGCTATTGCTGAGTCTTCTTGCTTATGAACTCTGGGAATTGTCCAGCTTACAGCTTTGCAGTTGTTCTTGGCTCAACCTACACTTTAGCAGCTTAGCATTTAGTATAGGCTCAAGGGAGACACTGGGAAATTTTCCAAAACTGTTTCTACATACCTCCCTCCTCTCTTGATTACTGCCCTACAACTTTGGATTACCTCAGCCTTTCTGAACTCTTGTCTCCTCAACTCAATGAGCTGTCCTCCCATTCCCTGCTTAGCATTGCAGAATATTCACACCCTCAGGTAGTTGTGAGGCTCATCTTGTGTTTATAATTTAGGATTGTGATTCCTTTAGGAATCACATTTTCACTGCCAGTTGTTCAGTGTTTGACAACAACTGTTTTATACATTTTGTTCAGTTTACTAATTGTTTGCAAAGGAAGTTAAATATAGTTCCTATAAGTAACTCTAGTACAACTGAGGAAAAAGTTTTTTAAATTGCATTATATTTAAAGTTTACAGCTAAATTTTCCAGAAAATAATGAAAAATGTCTCCAAAGGATCTTTTACACTGAATATGGTTTACTGTGTCTAAATTCGAAGAACATTTTCTGTATATGAAAATATTTTCAAAGTCACAAGAGTAAAGAATATCTAGAATATGTACCATCTTCTTGCTAAAAATGTCAGAGTGTATGAGTTAATATTCTCATTATTTTCTAAACAATGTGTAAGAGCCTGAATACTAAGTGATATTTGTCATATAATAATCACTCAATTTGGTTTTGCTCTTTCATATGAATTTAATTTGCCTTGGTACTTGTTTCTGAAATATTTGATATGCTGTTTTCTTTCCCTTTATCTTGTCTTTCTCATTTCTGTGAGAAATATCAATGACATTTCCTTTTTATTTCTGACTGACTTTATTCATGGCACACTCCCAGGAAGGGGGTTAGTTATTCATATGTTGTATGGGAGTATTTGCCTTTGGCTGTTCAGTTACTGAATGAGTGTATTAAAATATAGTTTGGAATAATATAAATTGCATTAGCAGTTTTCCCATTCAAATAATATTTGAAGGGATCAAGGTTGAACTCATTGGTTGAGCACTTGCCTAGTATGTATGAGGCTCTGGTTTTAATCCCCAGCACTACAACAACAACAACAACAACAACAAACTAAAATTTGGCTTTATTTACTTGTTAAGTACAAAACTACCTAGCTAAATAATGCTAGCAACAATAATTACTATTATTAGCTGACTCTTGGGTATATTATATGTGAACTGCCGTTCCGAACACTATAATGCTTAATCTTCTCCGCAATCCTTTGAGATACATACTATTATCACCCCACTTTACAACGGGAAAAGTGAAACTAAAAGAGTTTGTGACCTGCCATCAATTCTATAGCTAAATGTAGTAGAACAAAGAATTGATCTATGTCTTCTTTCTGCCTTCAGGTCATGCTGTTAAGCACTACGCTGTACTGTCTGAACTGTTTCTTACACTGCCTCTCTGTACTTGCTTATACACTACAACCCCTACCATTGAGTCCCAGATCCAAGCAGTTACCTGATTTCAACATCATACTCTGCCATATCTCCTCTCTCCTTGTTCAACTTTTCTTAAGTAACTCTAACCTCTGAGGTTACTTAAAATTTGATGGTCTGTCCAGTGTGGTGGTTCATGCCTCTAATCCCAGTGATTTAGGAAACTAAGGCAGGAGGATTACATATTTGAGGCCAACCACAGCAATGTAGCAAAACCTGTCTCAAAGTAAAAAATAAAAAGAACTAGGATATAGCTCAATGGCAAGATGGCCCTGGGTTCATTGAACAATTCCATTAGAATATTAAAATTTTAATAATCTTATATTAGGCCTATCACCTACAAGTATGTTGAATACCAAGTAATTGTCATTACTACTATGAGAATTTTCTTATATCCACTGTTGCTTAGAAAGTACCAAACATCATTCTTCTCATGTGAAAAAGAAACTTAAAGTGAGCCAGGAATGGTGGTGCATGCCTACAATCCCAGTGATTCAGGAGACTGAAGCAGAAGGATCATAAGTTTTAGGTCAGCCTCAGTAACTTAGTGAGACCCTCAGCAACTTAGCAATATCCTGTCTCTGGGCTGTGGATGTAGCTCACTGGTACCATGCCCCTGATTTCAATCCCCAGTTCAGAAAAGAAAGAGCTTCTCAGTCCTTGAATATAGGTACTGAAGCAATTAACTAGCTAATCTAGCTTGCCTACCTCAATTACAGTACATCTGCTGTTCCAAACTAATTTTTTAATTGATTTTTTAAAAATAAATGACAGCAGAATGCATTACAATTCATATTACACATATAGAGCACAAATTTTCATACCTCTGGTTGTATCTAAAGTATGTTCACACCAATTTGTGTCTTCATACATGTATTTTGGATAATGATGTCCATCACATTCCACCATCATTGCTAACCCGCTGCCCATCCCCTGCCATATCTAGAGTTTGTCTATTCCTCCCTGCTCCCCTTTTCTACCCCACCCTGAGTTCTTTAAATTGCATTATACTTAAACCTAAATTTTCCAGAAAATGAGAAATGTCTCCAAAAGGGATCTTTTACACTGACTATAGTTTACTGTATCTAAATTCTAAGAATATTTTCTGTATATGAAAATATTTTCAAAGTCACAAGAGTAGAGAATATCTAGAATATATACCATCTTCTTGCCAAAAAGGTAAGAGTTATAAGTTAATATTCTCATCATTTTCTAAACAATATGACCTTATATCAGAGAAAGTGACCTGTATCAGAGAAAACATTTGGCATTTGTTTTTATGGGATTGGCTAACTTCACTTGGGAATCCTCTTCAACTCCATCCGTTTACCTGCAAATGCCATGATTTTATTCTCTTTTATTGCTGAATAATATTCCATTGTGTATA